CAAAGGGGGTAGTCCAGCAAGCAGCTTTCTGACATTATTTAGGGGGGCTCCTAGAATAATGTCTAGAGATTTGAGGCTTTAAATCTTTATTCCTTTTCTTTGCCTTTTGATTTGCTTTACTTACCATTGAAATTGCAGGTCTTTGGATTCAGATTTCCATTGAAATTTAAAAAGCTAGTGCATTGATTCGTTCCCTTTTATTGTAATTAATATTCCAGATGTCTTCAAAGTTAGGTTTCTTGATTCCTTTCATTTTAGTATTGCCAGAGTAGCTCCAGAGGTAGCTAGCTAAGGAATCCTTATTCAATTATCAATTGATTGATTTTCTTATACATTATATTGGAGGCCTTGGTTGTTGAGGGGGGGGGAGTTTATAAATCTAGAGTCAACATTACAGTACAACCTTCCAAGGCCAAAGTGACTCCCCACTCCAACAAGAACAAGCCAAAACAGCCTCCGCCTAGCGGGTTCCGCCTGGAGCGCACACTGCAGACCGCGCGTTGCGGGCGAGACGCGTGGGTGACCACTCCGCTATTGAGTGCTGAAGCCACTTCTTCTCGTACGACGAGTCCTTGGAGCTGCTTATGGAGCGGCCAATTGGTTCGGGCGGAAAGGGCAGAACCACTTGAGACGAAGATGACCTCAGAACCACTTTTCTGCTCTTTTCCAACAGAACATGAGGTGGAACTGAGAAACACCTCTTGACGAAAGAGATCGACCAACTTCAATAACGGATGATATGAGGACCTTCCCAGCGACCAAGGACATCCCAGCCGCTGAGGTCACTGAAAGGTCTTGGAAAGGTCACCACAATCCTGGAAATCTCATCCGTACTGTCTGGTCTACCTAAAATTATCTTTCTTTCTCTCTCACTCTCTCCCTCTCTTCTTAGGGTTCTTATTTACACGTTGACCGATTGAACAACAAGACCCTGCTGCGCAGCCTGAATGAGTCGAGTGACCCTTCACTCGCTGGTATGACCATGTGTGACCCATCGGTCTTGGCTCCCATGCCCATTCCGACCTGGACCGTTTCCCAAAGAATCCGTGAACAACTGATTTTTTTGACCGAATCCATTGGGGTGGTTTTTCAGGTTCAATGATCAATGTATACCAGGGCTCCCTAAACAAAGGGTAGCTATGAAAACCACCCCACAAGTGGGTCCTGGTAGAAAGCAAACCTATACGGGCGATGGCCTCCTAGTAGATCCTAGCGATGGCCTCCAACCTAGGAGGGAGCGATGGCTTCCACCCTAGTAGCTGTCTGGCTTCCTCTTCCAGTCCCATGCCTAAATACTCCATTGGGACTGTCATAGGACTACCGATCAGGCCAGGGGTGGTGGTGCCTGAGGGGTTTGCCTATAGGCAGTCCTATGGCAGTCCCATCGGCGTCTGGGATGGCAGTCCTTTTGAGTTCGTTCGTTCCACCGAGACACGGAGTTCTTGGAGTTCTTCAGGGCTCCTCGGGTCGACCCGAACGGCGGACCGTTCGGGACCGAACGGACACCAAGCACCGCCAGCTGCGTGACGCCGTTCTTCGATGCGACACGGTGGGAAGAGTAGATTCCTTTGCTAGTAATTACAATTCTAATTAAACTCTTATTGCTACTACTAGTAAGGCACTTGTTCCTAATAGCTTCTTTGTTTTTATGATCATGATGGTGCAGTGCTTTTGGAAGAGACGTGACGGCGGATGTCTGGGATTTCTGCAGTCCAGACTGCAGTCCGTGCTGACTGAAAAACGCCCCAGTACGGTGGTGAATGAGTTCTCCGCAAACCCACCCTGAGTCGATCCAATTGCGCATCCCGGGTGAATTCCTCAAGTCGATCCAATGGACTCCAGACGGACTGAGGGTTTCATCAACCGTGTCCCGACTGAGTTGAGGCAGTTCGACTGATTTTGTTGGGAACGGGCTGAAGAAGCGAAGGTCGTGAGGTTGCGAACGTATTGATGATTCGGTTTTGGACCAAACTGGAGAGAGAGAGAGAGAGTGATTCTGGTGGCTCCCTCCAGTCTGGTCATTCTGGTGGCTCCCTCCAGTCTTGGGGATGCAGAATCGCTGTTCTTGGGACCACGAAAAAACGAACCGATCAAATATCATCAAGTATCCATGTGTCCAGGTCCGAACGATGGATGAAGGTGTGAGAATGTTCTCTGCTGCGACTGAACAAGCTAAGTGGAGTACTTCACACTGCAGGAACACATATCAAACTCATGATAATGTTTCTGGTGAATGGCTTTGTGCCTCATATGCCGACAAAAATTGGACGTGGGTCTGCAGATATGACATGCGATGCCGAAAAAACTGCCGCCCTGGACGCGAAAAGTATATTATTCCTGGAACTCCGAGTTCCAACATCAAAACTCAAATAAGGGAGTGAAATTGATGTATTTCATTGTATTTGCATTCAAACATCTTCCACACAAATGCTCCCATTCTCGTTTTATGTTCTAGCCATTCTCACAACCCCTCGGTTCACCATCAAACACCTGAGTCCACCATCGATCGAAGCCGCTGAAGAACTCGACGCTTTGTTCCATGTTCGATCGGTGCCCCGATGAGGGCAGCGCAACAGGTCCACAAACAAAGGTCAAAGGTCCATACTCACCGACACCTGCCCTCTGCGTCCCAGTGACGAGAGCCGTTGGCCGGCTCTGCTACGTGGCCGTGTCGGGCGGCCACTGAGGTCACTCTCCGGAGGCACCAGGCCGGTCAGGCCTGGCCGTGACGGAAGGGTCCCTGCGCTGGCGCAGCTGAAAGCCGCACACCGCAGCACGTCCCGCTCGGCGCCGCTCGGTCCAAAGCCATCGTCCCGCGAGGCGAAAGTCACTTAGGCACCAGGACATCCTGCGGGGTGCTGATCAGTGGTGGATACCTATTGACCAAGGGAACAGATCCTTTTAGTATGGGAAAAAAAAACATCATGCAAAGTTGGCCGCTCCTGCAAGTACAGAAGAGAAATATGTCAGATCTGCAGGAAGCTTCTGACATGACGTGAACTGATTCTCCTCATTCTTTTCAGGGTGTGGACTTTGCGTGAGTCACCCCCAACCAGTTCCATGCTCATCAATGATCCAATTACGCCACACACACACACCTTCATCCCACCCTGACCTGCTGGGCAACACTTGCCTGCGCCTCTTTGGGAAAGCACATCGCCTGCAGCACACGGCATTCCGGCAAAGAGAGACACATGGATAAAGACTAGGAGTTCATGGGCAGATCCGGCGCACCCCCTCCGCAGGTCTTTTCCTCCAGCAGCTGCACCATGTGCACCACGTCACCTTTCACGGATGATGTCCCACCTGGTTTTTAATTCGTCAACACTGAAGCGTCCGTCGAATTTACTTGCGACGACCATCCAGTTGGGCCGCGAAGCCTTGTCCTCTTTGAGGCGCTTTAGGGCTTGATCATCTTTTTCAGTAAACTCGACACGAGGACGCTTGTTAGGTGGCTCCGGTGCGGACGGCGGCTGCAACCGCCCACAGGGAGGAACATGGCGACCAGGCTGGTCTTCCACTGCCTTTCCCTCAACAGCCGACCAGGCCAGCTGGTCGAACTCTGGCCGGGCTGGGGCTGCAAAGTCAGCAGGCGGCAGTGGAAATCCCAGCTTTTGTAGGAATACACGAGCTAATCCCGGAGTCTGCTCATAAGATCTGCCAATTGAGTAAAATACCAGAGCATAACGTCGCCCCTCAAAGGCAATCGTACAGTGGACTTTGTTGCCATCAAATTGACGCAGCTGATGTATGTCATGTTTTCTGCCGCGCAAGACGCGGCCCCGCTCCCCGATGTGTGGAATGTCTTCCTCTAGTGTGTAGCTGTCTGGCCCGTCCTCGTCTTGAACGAAGGTCTCTCCTCCTTTCCATGTCCCAAGACCAACAATCAAGCTAGGGCCCTTGTTGTTCTTGTCCCTGTGGGGTTTGGACCTCAAATCCTTGTTCAATTGGATTGAGGTTGCCGTGAAATCCATCCCTGCATTCTCTGCCAGTCGCTGGCCGAGTGTCAAAATCTTTCTTGTCAAGCTGCGAAAATGGTAGGTGTCTTTGCTTGGCATGGGAATTCCTCGATAATGAGCGTGCGTGACAAGGCCCAAGGTCTTTTGAAGACTTTTGGTCTCAGCAGTTGGTCTTACGTTTTCCCTTGAGCTACTCGCCCATTCAGTGTCTGGGATTCTCTCAAGGTCAGCAAAAATATCAGCTTTGAGCTCTTCGACTGTTCTTCCAAGGTCAAAGCCTGCTGCATCGTACTCCGAAATCTTCTGGCACAATACGTGCATCTGGTAATGTGCAAAGCGTTTGCCAAGACGGTCTCTGTTCTCAGGCAACAAGAGCCGTGCCTGGGACGCCTGAGTGTTCTCTGCTGGCTGTGTGTGTTCTTCGGACCCGATACTTGGCTGGTCGGGCATGTCTTCAGCCAAGACCTTCTTTGAGATTTCCACCTCCACGGGGTCAGCATCATAGTCCTCGTCAGCGTCCTCTGCAGCGTCGTCACAGGCCGGCTGTGTAGCATCTGAATCGATGCGCTCGCGCTCCCGTGCTGGGCCAGGGCCCGCCGGTACCGCCGGTACAAGCGATGCTGGCGCTCCAGTGCCGTCGCATGACATCTGCGTCACCACCTTGAAAAAGGAGATCTCGCAGGTTTGGGGAATTTTGGGGATTCACTCAAAAAAACTTGCTACAGACTGAGGTAGCAGAAAATACAGTGAGTGAATTTAGGCCTTGTCTCGCAGGATAGGACTCTGATTTACCCAAAATCATCATAACATTTAGTCTGTTTTAATCCTCACTGCTTTTCTGAATCTTTCAAAAGTCTTCAATTGTTCCTTAAACTGACGTTTTGTCCCCTTTCAGTAGTTTGCTGGGGAAAGTTCCTTCCTTTTGTCTTAAACTAAGTCTTTGTTCAAGGATTGAGTTGCTTTTTGATCCTCTCATTTCTTGGGTGTGGGTTAAACCAAAAGGGTGCTCAATATGTACAAATTCTTTTTGGTCCCAGGGAAAATATCAATCACTCTATATAGCAAAACCTAGCCTCCCGAGAAAAATCGATGAGGATCTTGTGCTGCTTCCGCCACTGCTCCATGCTCTCAAGAACTTGATGATAGAGGCCCTCCAATCGCTTGGCAGCATCATCGAACTGGCTCAAGACCTGCTCCATGGCGGGTTGACAGGTCACTCTTTGATTACATTAATTATCATTAATTTAGATGCTCTTGTGTGGTAGTGCGTGCGTGGCTGCCGGTGTCCTTCTTTGGGTCACCAAGCTAATAGAGCCTAAATCCATCCCACTATGCCAGGCAGGTTTCGTCTTTCTTTTGACTATCCTTTAAGACTTTAAGCCAGGTGTCAATGGTGTACATTGAATTGAACGCTTGAGCAAAACGCTTGTTTGCGCCGGACGCAAAATCCGGTGGCCAGACCGGTGCCTCCATAGAACGTGAAACATGGAAGTGCCCGTCGGAGTAGCTCTGCTCTATTTGGGTCCATCTTGAGTGAAGGAGGAAGGGGACCCCTTCCGCACCTCAATTCCATTCCTTTTTTTTTGCATTTTTGGATCCACGCATGAACCGCGGAGAAAAGACTCTCAAAACATCTCAAAACGTCCCGGGTCTGATAGCAGCTTGGTGGATATCCCGCTGTTCACCTATTGGTGTCAGTGGCCGACTGTGGATCTGTGCTCCGTGCAGATCTGCCTGTCCCATGGGGATTCTATATTGGATCTGGTCAATGCGCTTCAAAACAACCCGGCCGGACCTCCATGGACGACCGGAAGAGACGGAAGACGGAAAAAACCGACCGTCCAAGCGGTCTTCCGCCCTCCAAGCATCGAAGTGGATGGGCACCCGTCTTCGCCCGTCTTCCTCTTCTTTAATAGACTTAAGGCTTTTTGGGCTCCACAACAACCGGTCCACTTTTGATGGTTTGGGGTGAGATGCCATTGGGTCGCCATGAAAATCCCAGATGCTTCCGATTCGATCAGCCACCGACGTCAGGCCGAGTCAGGGCCCCCAGGCCATCCTCCCGGTCACGCCTTCTGGGCGGCCTACCCATGCAGGGGTCGTCTGCCGGGAGGACTCCGCATCCTGAAGGTCTCCCCAGGTCACTTCCAACGTTCGCGTTCGGAAGAGGTTGGTTTCTCCCCAAGATGAGAGAAATGGATGATGGATGAGCTCCAAGCACCGAATTCGAAAGAGCAAGAGAGATCATCCAGACTGCGGGATTATAGGACTATAGGATACTCCAGAGTATACGTGTATTTTTCCCCCAGGATTTGGTCCAGCTGCAGGAATTGTCCAGACTGATCGACATGACCCAGCTATATAGGATACTGCATGATAATTCCGATGCTGCACGATCCATAGTAACAAGAAGCTAGTAGAAACAAGTGCCACGCTACTAGTAACAGGTGCCTTACTAGTAGTAACAAGGACGCTACTAGGGGCTCCTGGCCTCGCTATATTTATATCAACGGTATATGCAGAATGTTGCTCGCCAGTTCAAGACACAACGACATTAAAGTACAACGTTCAACCCACACATCGGTGGAACACAAGACGTGACCTTAAAGTCATCAGTGTAGGGGATCTGACTGGATGGTGTGTGACTTACCATCCACAGATCTGGATCATGTTCTATCACAATCTATCACAGGAAAAAAACTACTAATCTTAGAATCTTACTGCAAGCACCTGGTCACCATGTGAGACCAAGTCTCACATAGAAACTACCGCCATTTGGGCGCAGTGAAGGGGCTGCTCACTTGTAGTCTCCATCCTTTTATGATTCTTCAGCCTTCAGCACATTGTTTCCAGATGTTTCAAGGGAATACAACTATGTATATAGTTATCCATCTGGGTCCGTGGTTAACGCTTAACGATCAGTTATCCCTTACAAAATACCCCTTTAAAAAAAGGTTGTTCGGCAAATGATCTTCCAAACCCACAACTGAGAACCCTCCAAAGTTGAAATAATCTACACAGTTTGGGGTCGTCATCTGAAATGCTTCTGAACTTTTAGCAATTAATCAGTCAGGATATTCTATTCAGTATACTGTAAGTAAAACATATATATATATATGGTCCCTCTACCACCCTCTACTATATTCATGGGAGTGACGAATTGACGGAGGTCTAAGATACAGAATATAGACGAAACCTGGCATCTGAATGTCCCCATGTTTGTGGCATAACAAATAGGTAAAATAGGGAGACCTCCCAAGTTCGAACCCCTGGAAGAAGGAAAATAGACCACATCCCATTGGGCGGTGGTCTTCCAATAAAATACACAACTATATATAAGTCACGCTCGTGACTTCATCGCATCGCGCACGCTACCCGGAGGCGCCACGGGTGGGCTGCCGAGCTTCAGTGTTGGCCACCGACGGGCTCCCCGCGCGGATACTGTCCTGACAGGCTCAGGGGACATGCACAGGCTCCGGGGGCGGGGAAAGGTGGCAGAAGAGACAGTAGCGAAACATCAAAGGGACTTAGTACCTTCATCTCATCAAGCAATCACTGTAGCAGGTCAGGGATATTCTATAATTTGGGTCCATCCCAGTACCAGTAACAGTGTATGCTGATGGCTAATAAAGGCCTTTCTCTAAAATAGTGAATATATGCTTACCAACTATTACAGGTGATAGGACAGACCCAATCTATAATCTTCAAAACCAACATTTAAACTTATTCATGTTTGTGACCTGCTATAATTACAGCAGGAAATCTACGGAGATCCAGCAAACATCACTAAACTCTGCTCGTGCTGGGTTATGTCTCTATTCCTTTCTATACCCCCTTACTTATATTTTGGCGGCAACATGATTCATTTTGTAAAGGGATTGTGGCTATCAAACGAATAGGTGTGATCTATCAAGTGTGTTCATGAAAACCGCATTTATGCACTCCAGATAGGTAGCACATGTTGTGTTTACAGAATGACCTCAGTTAGGCCATTTTATAAGGGAAACACATGTTCATTTTATAAGCAAACAAGTGATAACAAGTGTGGAAGTGTGAGGATCTTTCTATAGAGGCTAGAACATTGGTCAAGGCGGCTGGCTGGTGTGACTGTGTGACTTGTAGGGAATGAGGCAACGCAAACCAAGCAAACCACCTACACATGGGCAGAGCTGCTACCCATGTATCCTGCACAGGCCAAAATGCTGGATAAAGTGGTACATACTGTAAGGATTTGTAAGATGTACAACCTACACATTGATCCGTGTGCCTTTGGGAGGGTTCACCTCTGGCAGAAGTAGAAGAAGTTGGTCGACTCTTTCCCTGATCCCAAATCCCTCATATTCCCTGATCATCTCTCCATCATTCCCTGTCTCCTGTGTCAGCTTGTTCAAGGTCTCTTGAAGAAAGCGATGGGACCTAGGTGATGAAGGTCGGGTCCGTAGGTCGACAGTGCAACAGCTGGGAGTTTCTGCAGCTGGTCCGTAGGTCGTGTCGCGCAAGTGTGGTTTCGCCATCCACTGGGAAATACCACACGAGGACATACCAAGCTCCAAAGGACAAAAATCCACTTCGGCGTGATGGGGAGTGTGTTCAAATTGTAAAGCCTCCAACCAAATGACTGGTGGTCTATGTCTAGCTTTCTTAGAGAACTTTGGGCTTTGGGAGTGTACTCGTGTCTCCACCAATTTAAAGTGCAGCTTGTTTCTGGGCCTGAATTCAGGACCGGACCACTTAAAACCCCACGGAATCTCACTGCTTCATTGAAGGTAACGTCCCGATAAAAGGTTTCCTAATGTTTCCTAGCCTGTGCACAATAGTATAGCCTTTCCTTTCAAATCCCAACACGGGACACTAAAGGTTCTAGGCAAGTAGGAGCTCAACAAGCAAGCTATGTCATTAACAAGGCAGTAAGAACATGTAAAAGCAAACCAGGGACCAGTGAGGACTCAATGCTGGCACCTGCTTGGAGAGTATAGGATCGCCTCGCCTTACCCATTAGGCAACTGGTCGTAATATAAGAGAACAGTCAACCAACAAAATCTGCAAAAATCTGTAACAGCATGCAGCGCTATGCTCCATTCCTTGCTCCAGGTCTAATTGCTGAATTCGACAGGCTACGCAAGCAAGACCCTGTCTTTTAGATGGGGGCCGAAGTAAACTAGCTTTTGGGGATTGGCCCATCTGCTCTCCATGCTGTATTTCACTCAATCTCTGAGCCTCCCAAGAACTGACTGAGCTATAACAAACTCCCATGGTCTACACGTTGTGAGAACATGCCATAGAACCAAAAATTAATGGCCCCCCCAACCTAATAGCGATGGCCTCCAACCTACAAGGTCTCAAGAGGTTTCGATCTTTTCCGCACTGCACTGAGGTCTACTGAGGCTAGCACTGCGGCCGCGAATGGTATCCCAAGCCGTCCATGGCAGGCTTGATCCGACGACCGTTCACTGGCCGTACTACAAGTACAAGCAAACAACGGAGGGATTCTAGTGCTGGTGGCCCAATGAGTTCTGCACCTGATGCCTGTGGCCTGTAGGGCTCATGCGATGCCATCGGACATGGAGCCTTGTTGGAGACTTCTTAATTGCAGAGGGGACCTGTTGAAAGGCCGAATCGATTTCGGCTGCTGCTGAGCTAGGGTCAGTGGACACAAACTGTCAGGGTGTGCCTTGGCATGGCAAGGAACAACACGTGGGGTGGTCCGTCAACCCAACCAACCATGGGTGCACCAGTTGCTTAACCCCCCAGGCTCCCCGCGGTTGACCTCCTCATGAAAGTGTTGCCTCTGAAGGATCATGCGATGTCATTTGCTTTGAGACTCACCAGCTGCGTGATGCTGCGAGGTTCCAACGCATTCAGGGCAAAGTGGACTCATGTCCACTTGTTTCCCGCGTGGTTCCAACGAACGAAAACGTAGCCCCACAAAGCATCGGTCAAAAATCCACTAACATTCCACTTCTCTTAGCCCCTTTGGTAGTTGGACATGGGGCCTCTTTAACATGAGTTGCAGCATCGCTCAAGACAAGAAGTTGGGCAACAACATCAACTGCCCCAGGACATCACCTCCTCTCTCCCCAGTCTAGGCTATCGCGTCGTGCATGAACCAATCTCAGCACCCAGTCTCTTCCGGATGGTTAGATGGTCCATGCGTTCGGTCCCTTCAGGGTTCATTACAGCCTCCCGGTTTCGCCCACCC